GCACTTGAGTGCTGATCATAGAAATATATTCCATGAATATTTGCCTAATTTTCCTGTTGTTTTCTTTTGCCTAGGCAAGTGGTCTGATTTTGGCCTTTCATAGCTTACTTCTCCTCTTTTATCAACCATAGAAGTCATCAATATATTTTAAATTTAAAGAAGAAATCCCTATTCAGAATCAATTTCAGGACATATTTCATTTGTGGTTGCACACCCACTCTTTTGAATTTTTAGCAATGTCTATGCACAAAGCAGAATTTCTAAACATAGTCCCCAATACCACAATTCATCACCTCAAAAAAAAAAAATTATATAGGAATAGGAGGGAGAGAATTTGTCTATTTTCCTCATCAATTTCTTAAGGAACCTACTCAACAACCTATAGATAAGACCTATATTCTTCCTCAAAATAAATAGTGTTTTGCTGCCAGAGAACCCATTTAGAACCTTTCAAACAATGAACAAGAATGTATCTTAGAATCCTATCTTACCTAGTCTATACTAAAGCTTTTCCGCATGTATCAACCAAATTAAAAAGAACATGTCAAGCTGCTCATCTCCTAAATAGAGCATGAATAACAAATGAAGGCAAATGTATATGTCCAAGGGTAATGGCTATGGAGATTCTCAGGCATCCAGGTCATGTTTGTCCCAAAGATGCTTTTTCAAAAGGCAACTGAACTTTCACTTCGTGTCCAAGAAGCTTCTTCAGCTCTGACTGCATGGTGGGGAATGGAAGGATTTATATTCCTTGCAGACAGCTGGACATTTGCATTCTTTTAGTGAGTCATTAAGGTCACCTGGAGGTTTATGTTTCATCAGGGTCACCTGAGTGGTACAAATGGGTATGGAGCCTTCTTGGAACTGTTGAAAGGACTGTGCTGTAGATTGGAGATAGATGATGGTGCATCCCTCCTCCTCTGTTGAGAGAGAGCTGTTTAATTTTGACATAGATGGCCTCTTTAACCCCTCTTTCAAACCAGAGATTCTCTCTGTCCAAAATATGGACTTTGCTGCCTTCAAAACAGTGGTCTTTATCTTTTAAATGCAGATGGACTGCTGAATCTAGTCCTGATGGATTTGTTCTCCTATGTTGTGCCATGTGTTTATGATCCCAGAATAATGTTGCAAGATCCAGTTTGGGTCAATCACTGGGACTAGAGGTTTTGTCTTCTGAGCTTTCAGACTCATACTGGAGGCCATCTTCAGGGAACCTCTTTCTAGCAGGAGAAGTTCCAGTGACTGATCCAGATTGGATCCTAGAACATTAATCCACTAAAAAACAGAAGACTGCTTCATTTAAATACCCCCTTAAGAAGGCACCTGAAAATCTTGTTAGAATTAGGGTTGTATCCATCAGACTTTTTAAAATACAATATTTATATCAATGAATTTTAAGATTAAAATGGCTTCAATTGCCTGCTTCAATCTCAGATAATATACTTACACATTTTGCTAGTAAGAGTGATAACTCATTTAAATATATTTACAAATGCACTCTTGCCTAATGTTCAGAGCAAAATTACATGGTATTCTCTACAAAGCATAGTTTGGTTTGTAAAGTACCTTGCTTATTCTTCTTTTGTACACATTATTGATAAAAATGTAATAAAATCCAAGCAGGATCCATTTGTAAGTTACATAAACAAAAAGAGAAAATATTTACATACAAAGTTTATTATATTGAGAGGAGCTGTAAAGAACAAGTAGTACTTAGCATGTGATGAAGCTGTAGTGTTATACTGCAAGCTATAAAACTATAACTGTAAATTATAACATTACAAATACAAAAACTGTAAATTACAACATTACAAATACCTTAAATATACCAAAATAATAATTCTAGAGCAACAGTGAACAATACTGTTATCAGGAACACCCAACTTGGCTACACATATCTTGTTTGTTCTGTCAAACTAACACATTTAAAAAAACACCAACAAAGACTTTTGAGTTAATTTCAGCATGCATAATCAAATCAACAGCCAAATTAAAGAGGCATGTTTTAAACTGTACCATTGCAAAAGCATTTCTTAATCTATCCCAACCAGTTTCCATCAGCACTTCGACCCCACCCTCCTATTATTGCTGCTTTAAGTAAAAGGTCATTTTATTCTATCATATGACTATCATAGATGTTACACACTAACTCTTATCTTTCTAAATTCCCTCAGTCTTTATTAAGTATGCCATAAAAATAAATTCAGCACAGCTTATTCCAGTACCAAAGCAACAGATAAAAAGCACCTTTCTAAGAAGATGAATGGATAAAAGCCTATTAAACTATAACATATTTTCCCACTGTAATTTTTGCTACAAATTATTGGATAAAGATTCATATTCCCAAATCCAAAGCATACCAAAAGCGTTCTATTTGCATCTAAGATGGCAACTTACAAAACTTTTTTGAGAGTTATCTCACTGAACTGAGAATTACTTCTTAATATATAGAT